ACCCAGAATCAAATTGTTTTCATGTATTCAAATTTAAAGTTTTCAACATTTAAAGAATTACTTAAATAATCAGTCAAGACCAAATGAACTCGAAAGTAAAAAAAAAAAAAAAATTAAAGAATGATTTATTATTGTGCTGCTAATAAATTGGATTTTAGTATAATTTCAATGATTAACTTAAAAAACATTCTGCTGTTCAGTATTCATTATTGAATAACTTGTTTATTTTTATTATTTTAAGTAGTTAAAAGTAAAACTACTGTATTCAATTTTAGACATAAAAAATTGATAAAAGATTTGAGCATCATGGAAACTTAAAATGGCTAATTTAGCATCTGTATATCAGAAAAGTTGATTCTCTCATTCTGGATTTTTCATTTATAAAAATGTGAAAGTAAACTATTCCTATTAATATCATCTCTTAAGTTCACAGAAGAATGAAAGTCTTAATCATAATTCATTTTGTATATTTAATATATTTCCTATCTCAAATAAAATAATCCATTTTATGAAAAAGTAGAAGTTTAACTTCCACTAAGGAATAATAATATGCAAATGATTTAAATATCACTAAAATACTCCTTAACTTATTCTTATTCTAGGTGTTTTCCCAGCCTCCCAATCCCCGGCTAAGCAACTTAGCTAATGATAGATTTTACATCACAGGGGCACATCATGAAAATCAGCAACAGGTGACAAAGTTGGCTTAGTTACTTTAAAACAAAAGATAATTCTCCCTACAATAAACAAGATTAAAAAAATCAACCTATGTCCATAACAAGTGATACACATAAAAATATGATTATATACATAAAGGAATACTATTCAGCTAAATTAGACTATGCCATTTGCAACAACATGGATGGAATTGAATTTTAATTCATGAATTGAAATAAACCTGGCACAGAAAAATTATTCCACCCATGAGATCTACAAGCTCTCACTCACACAGAGTCTGAAAAGGTTGATCTCCTAGAAGCAGACTAGAGTGATGGTTAACAGAAACTGGGAATGTGGATCCAAAAATATAAATGAAAATTAGGAGTGTAATTATAGGTAGTGAATACAGATTCACAGAGAGCCTGTATTTTGGAATCAGTTACCAAGAACTATAAAAGTGACTATGAAAATTGTATACATGATATATCTTTCCACATCTTTCCTTTTAAACTCTCTGCATCTACTTATATTGTTTTTAAACTTTTTTGTTTGGTGAGATATCACTGAAATTTAAAAATGCCTAAAGTAAACTTGTCTACAGCAACTACTTGTCTACAGCTTAAAAATGCGTAATGTAAAACTTGTCTGTAGCAAACAGGTTCAACACAAGCAGACTGAGTTAAAGAAGTCAGCTGTGGGAAGAACATGTGTGATAAACTGCATTCTGTTATCCAAAAGCAAAGATGAATGGAGGAACGAGAGAGCAAAAATGGGAGAGGAGTAGGACACAGGACTAAATGGTGGTCTTTAAACTAAACCGGCAATATTTACATTAAATAGGAATGGACCAAACATTCTGGAAAAAGAAAGTTTAGAAATCCAGAATAGTGACACTAAATAAAAGAGAAAAGGCCACTTGCATGCTGTTTTAGACTTAAAGTGGAGATCAGCATCTGTCACTCAGACATTTTGTTATGGGGAGATGCCTCAGAAAGCAGGCTAAGTCTGAATTTAAAATCAAAAGAGAGCTTTATTTACCTGGCCAGGGACTGTCACCCACTGCAGATACTCAAGCTCAATGGGAGGACAGCTGATTCCTGGTCAACCCAAAGAATAAAAAATAAAAGCACAGAAACCACAACTCAAGGAATCGCTTATTGTCATGTAAACTAGTCAATCATAGAAA